GGATCTGGAGGGCGGGAAGGGGCGGACGCTGCCCCCGGCCCGCCGGGCGCCGCTACCGGGGTGGGGTTCGCTGGGTCGGGCGCGCTGGGCTCCGGGGCCGCCGCCGCGCTGGGACCGGCGGCCCCGGTGTCGCGGGCGGGGTCCGGCCCCGCGCTCCGCCCGGGAAGCGGCAGGCGCGGCCGGGGAGCGGTGACACTCGGCGTCCGGCTCCGAAATAGCTGCCCCGGGCTGAGCATCTTGTGCCGGCCCGGCAAGGGGCCAGGAAGCTGCCGCCGCTCCCCCCGAGCCGGGAGGGGTGTTTGCTCTGCGAGCGGGGACCAGCCAGCGCCCACCGCCCCTCCGAGCGCCTGCTGTTGATGCTGCAACTTGCAGACAATTGAACTTTTTCTTCTATTCATTTTTAGTAAAAATCACTCCAGAATAGGCGATACAAAGCGTGTGTGTCAGGCTTACGAGAAAGAGCCCTTTTTACTGTCTCGCCACGAATTTAGCAGTACCTCCTTTACTTATTTTCATTCTCTGCCCGGTTGCTGTTAGCATTTCTACCTCTGTTTATGGTGGTAGGAGGAGACAACTACTTGCGTTCTGCTTTGCTGGTGTTGCTGACGGCAGACCAGCAAATCTGGAGAGCATGGCTTGTTTGTTTTCTTTTATTCCGCTGAGGAGAGGCTGTAATGCTTTACCTACCCCTAAGATGGGCTGCTTGACAGCAGGGCAGATTTGTTTTTTAATGCTTGAGGCAACGATGTTCTCAATTAATACTTTGTTAAAACTGGTGATGTGATAGCAAATAGATTACTTCTTTGTTTCAGGTTTTTTTTCCACTAACACTTGCATCCATGTGTTCATTAGCTCTACTGCTCTGTTGAGAATTTAAGCTTTGCAGCATAGAGTAAGTAGCTACACAGMAAACAGCACTTGGAATTTTTGGGTGAGTACTGGATACCTGAATGCTTATAAGATTCAGTATTGTACAGGACATTAAAAAAAGGGATACTTTGGGAGAATTAGTTCTTTGRAAGTTAGTTTGAATCGTGTTTTTGAGACTGGAGTATGTGTTATACAGGTGCCTTTTGTCAGATGTGTGGTCAATTGCTGGTAAAATCCAGGCTTGTTGGTCTGTTTGAAGGTGATGGGGTTGGAATAACTGCAGTCCTCTCAGTGTGTGGATGGAATGAATTCCTCATTGCTTGCATAYGGAGATAATTAAATCCTGAGTTGTCTGAAGCTGGTTTAGGGTGCCATTCACTCAAACACGGTGCTGCTGCTGCTGTAGTTGCTGCTGCCWGTGTCTTGCTGTGACAGTAATGTGTACAGCTGGGTATGGCTTCAGTTCTGACGTGCTGCTGCCTTGGGAAATGTTGTTGAATGGATTTCTGGATTCCGTGGTAGCATTAAAGGCTTTGGGGATAACTTTAACTTCCCAACAAAAATGCTGTGATTTCTACTAAGGATGCGAGGAGGAAAAAATGTCAAGTTCACAGGATGCCTTAGTATATCCATCTATTTTAAGAGCAGTGAGGTTCTGCCTTACTGTACTGGATAGCTTCAGTATTTGAGTACTTGTAGAAATTAATTCTTTGAACTAAAAGGTTGAGCTTATTAGATAAAAGTAAGTTTTAGGTCAAGTGCTGCAACTTACACTTGTTTTTTAGCAAATACCTGCAAAAGCGGAACCTGTATCTATCTGTTTTGTCATGTATAATAATCTTCAAATTAATAGCAGAAAAGTAAATAGCTCACTTTGAAAGAGTGTTGAGGGAACAGCACCATGGTGTTAAGCTGAGATGTTGAGGGTGAATTCTTCAAAACAACTTATTGTCAGTTTGCATTAGGTTATCTCCATCTTCTTGTGCWCTCAGCAGCTTTATCTTGAGATGAAATCTTGCCACTGCAAAGTGAAGTTTAGCAGAAAATTCAGCCTTAAAAACAAAACAAACCCAAAGCCCGGAGAAAAATAGCTGGGAAATAAAGATCTGAGCAGTACTCAGGTGTCTTTGAGAAGGGTTTTGTTTCCATGCTTGCTGTGTGGTTTTGGACAATAAGAGATGAGGCTTGGTGTGCTATTTATATCCCACAGCGTCTTCCTGAGCTCTTAAAGCTGTGATGTTACCAAATGTGTGTTTTGCCGTACAGGCACTTGGGTAGTTTCTGTACGGCAAGTGTATTGCCAAATACGTTGTTTGTCTTTTAAGGCTGTGCAGAAACTGCTCCAAGTTGTTTTAAAATTGATTACAAGCAAGTCACGTGCTTCATTTTTGGAATTTCTTGGGATTAAGTGACAAAGTGTAGTGGCCTTCACGAAAACATGGATCAGTACTAGCTTTTGCTGCATGACAGATTTTGATGTCAGTGAAGGATTTAAATTCTTTTTTGCTTCTTTTTTGCTTGTGTTACAATAAGGCTGTCATCAACTGAGTTTTGAAGCTTAAAAAGGAAAGCTTTCTTTTTCTTATTGGTACTAGCAAATATATCTATGCTTGGTTTTGCTTTCTTATGATTCTCTATTTAATTTTCAGTAAGTCACTACTCAAGTACAGCTGTTCTTGCTTTTCCTATAGTGCTGCTGAAAATAAGACTTTTGTGGTGATAGGATATCATGAGGAAGTATGTGCTGCAATTTATGTTGTAAYTTTGAAAGACAACAAGGGAGTCATATTTGAAACTGGGAAAATTCTTCCTTGATTTCAGGTAAAACAAAGGGAAACATGAGAAAGTGAGGATGTAAGAACAAGTTAATTTTCTTTCTTTTGCCAGCTTTCTGGGCTCTCTGCACAGTTCCTTCCCTGCCTTGTTTAGATGTTGGTGGGGAAGCAGAGAGCATTCATTCCTACAGGAGTAGTTGCAGCTCAAAGTCCCAGTGCAGTGYAGAGTGCTCCTGTGCTTGCTGTCCTGTGTGTGAGTATCAGTTCCTGATGATTCTTGTGCCTCAGTCTGGGCTGAAACAACAACGTGTTTGTGAGGAGGCTGAGTGAGCAAACCCATCTCATACAATAAAAGCCCTTTGGTGTCCTGAGTTCAGCTTTGCTGTGCTAATTAGTGCAGCTCAGGAGTAAGTGAGGTGTAACTGGTCACTTGTGTAGAACTGCTTGTGATCTTGGCTTCACTTCTCAGACATTCATCTGACACCTTGGAGTAACTTTAGAGTACCAATTAGTAGATCAAAGCTTTCAATGGTTAGATGAGTATGTGCTCCTCAAAATTTTTCCTCTAGGGAGGTAAACACAGCTTGATATTGCTGTTGGTGGGCCAGGATTTCATCCTGGAAATATCAGATCATTTCCTTTAAATCAGGATGTGATAGATGAACTTGCTGCTGTCGAGTCTGTGCACTGGTAAGACAGGAAGTGAASATGTTTTAATTGTGGAGGAGAGTTAATGGGATGTTGAAGCTATAAACTCTAGGAAAGCAGCAGTGAATGATAGTTCAGCATTACACCCACGGCATTTTGTAAAACTCTTAAGTGGTAGAACTAAGCATTCCTTCTCTTATTGAAAACATACACAAATAATCCATCATGGTCACATCCCAAGAGGCAGAAAACTTTTAAAACGCATTGCAGCCAGTTAACTGGCCTCTTAGCAGGCTGAGGTATTTGGGAGTACGATCTGTGCAGAGCACACAGCTGTTGCCACAATAGCTTTTCTCCAGCTGTCATGCAGAGGTCTGTCACAAAATACCCCACATTCCCTTATAACTCAGCCCTTTGTAATATTCAGGTTTCCTTGCTCAAAGGGAATACAGCCTAGCAACTACCTAATCACCCTCTGAATTTTTTTTTTATCCTGCAGTTGCCATTTACTTCATGCTTTTTTTTTTTTTTAAAAAAAAACTGAACAATGTATAGCTAGTTTTAGCAGTATGCAGCAGAAAGCCAGTGATATTTTATTCTTTCAAGTCTGCTGTGCAAAATATTGTCTATTTTTGATCAGAACTGATAAAATTATTTGCCTGGGTGTTTTTTCTTCTTTGTAAAACTATGTTTTTTGTTTTGTGATGACCTGTATTGTCTTGCACCYTGAGTAGACTTTGGTGGCTGTCATGAATGTATCAGTTAATAAATGTCACTAGATCCTTGAGATCCTTGAGACTGGATATAATTCAGTGTGGCTGAGTTGAGCTTAGTTTGTCAGTCAGCTTTATGTTACCTGTGGTAATACATGAACATGTTTGAAACTGCTGAAACACTTAACATGATAGAACGTGTATATAGAGCTTCAGTGTTTGGGTTTTTGGGTTTGTTTGTTTGTTTACTGTTTTCATGCTGTATTTACAAGCTCAGATCTTACTGCCAAGTTTATAAAAGAAAATACTTTTCCTACTGCTTTTAAAGTGTCAGTTCTGATTGGAGCTGAGCTTACTGTTTCACGAACTAGAGAGTAAAATGAGTTGGATGTAGATTGTTGACTCTTTAATATCAGACACCTTKTCTGAAAGCAAGCATATGACTTGTAGATGGATGGGTGAGCAGTTGTTCAGATTTTTTTTCCCCCATTTTCCTTTCCCAAGCTGCTGCTTTCACAAGATRTTGTGAATGTTAGTTCTCATTAGCTAGCAATAAACCCAAAGGTGGGTTATCTCAAAGCGCCTTTTATCTCTGAAATAGCTGTTGGGCAACAAAACGGCTTGCTCTGAATTTTATGCTCTATATATGAATTTCAAGCTCTAAAATAGAGTAGTAAAGTAGATTGAAAAGCAACAACTGAGTGTGCAGCTGGTGTTTGAGCCGGCGTGCTGGATGTTTGACAAACCCTGATGTCTTGGTGTCCCACTTCCATGTGCTGGACTTGGGATGTACAAATCCCTCCACAGTTTCTGGGTATTGTGACTAACCCTCGCTGACCGTCAAAAAATGCTCTCGGAGTAAGCGCGAGAAAATCAAAGGGATAAAATGCCACGAATTCCAGGCTGCAGATTCACGCAGGGCCATGCTGGGGCTGGTATGCTCACACTGAGATAAAGCCTGGGGCCTCCTTACGGTAACTCAAGGTGATAAAATACAGTTTGGAAGCAACTGATTGTCGACATCTGTTGAGGTTAAAGGTGGGAAATAAAAATCCTAATGAAAACAAAGCACTTGTGATGCAGTCACCTGGAATAATAAGGGCTGCTTGTTGCCCCTCTTGTGAAACTCGAACCGCTCGGCTTCTTGCTTCCTGCAACACTGCTTCCAAGCAAAAGGCTGGGTTTGCTCTGGTTACAGATCTACAGCCTGGGAATGTAGTAGGTGACTTCAGGCTTGCCTTGCAGGCAGGAAACCTCAGGCTGCATGTGAGAGTTCCAGTATAGCCAGCAGTGGCATAATGAATCCTGTTATCCAGCAGGTCACGCCTTGTGCTTGCGCGCATACAGGGTAGAACTGAGCTGGCTTCAAAAGCTGGCATAAATTTGGAGCWGTGCTCAAATTTTGAGATACTCGCCATTCTTGTTCTGAGCAATTTACAGTTTTTTTCCAAAGTGAAATTCCTTTGGGATAACTTAACCCCTGTGGCAGTCAGAAAGCACCTTTCTGTGTGTTAACTCCTAGCAGCGGTTGCTTATATAGTGAGTAAATATTGACGTACCTTTTGGTTATCAGGTTGTCTTCTACTGCCACTTACACAAGGAGTCCTGGCACAGTTTCCCAGATTACTGCCTGGCATGCCCTTTGCACTCCCAGGGATGAATAGGCAGCCGCTGGCCTCTAGCCCCGTGCCTCCTTCCCGTACTAGAGGGAGAGGCTCCTGCCTCTGGTTTTGGCCGCAGCTCTGAATTCCAGTGTACGTAGTGGTGGTGGAGGGTGGCTCTTATAAGTAGGGCCCTTATATTCCAAGGGTTTGGAAGGACCTAAATGGCTCATGTTTGTATACCTTGTGCAACCTGTTCGCACTTAGAGAAAGCATTCCCAGCACCGAAAATGTTGTGACTGAGCCCCTTGAAGCATCTGAAGA